GGTCGTTCGACCCCCAAAGGGGTCGCGACCCACAGGTTGAGAACCACTGGGCTAAGACCTTAAATTCCAAAATTAGGGCTTTTATTGAATCATTCCTCTGTTTATTGAATAAGGGGCTTAGTGAAAAACCACAGTGTGAATTAGTTCATTTCTTCCTTTCCTGAGAGCAAGTTTAATGAAAGGGGCATTAGGGTGCAAGAGATTTGGAAGCCACCAGGAATATGTATGTATATACTTGTAATCCTACAGTGGTTGGACACTCCAGGTTTTGTACCTCATGTTCTGTCATGGGTGATTTTTTCCCCTCTCCTTTCCAATTACCTTTATGGTGAAGGAGATCAGTGTAACTTCTAGAACAAACAAATGACTTTAAATCCTTACAAAATGGGTGGATTACCCCCATCCTTATGAGTGACCCCTCATCCCCATCCTTAGCTCTGGAGTTATTTTTGTTTTTGTCTCTTATGCTCACAACACTTCCTTCTATAAATGCTAGAGCACATTTAGAATCAGTCACATTTCCAGAATTTCTCTTCTTAGGGGAGCATCTCATTGAGGAAAGGAAGTCCAGGGGCCTGTCAGGAAGCAAAGTTTGCACAGCACTTTGTATAAGATTGAGAAAGTGTCAAAAAACCATATTTGAATTGGGGTGGGGTGAGTCTGATAGAAATCCCATTCCCTGGTGCCACCACTCTTTGGAATAAAGGTTCTGGAAAAGAAATGGAAAAATCCCAGCAACACCAAAATTGCATGGCCTGGTGTTATCGTAATACCATAAACTCAAAATGTCTTGACCCAGCGCCCCCAGCAAGGTCATTTCAGAAACAATTGAGCTTCAGCAACTTGTCTTACCTGCCTCAGAATGACTAAGGCCTATTTAAATCTCGTGGTTGGTTAATCATTAATCAAGATTTTTGACAAACAAAGTAGAGCAAGCCAAGAAAGAAGGGTAGCTAAAAATTAGCTCAGGAAAGGTCATATTTCTTGCAAATGCAGGGTTTGGTGTTGCTTTTGATTGTGGGTATAATCGTGCGGAATGGAGTTGCAAGGAAATATAATCCCGCCGAGGAAGCCAGTGCACCTCTGAAGATTTTACGTGGGACCCTCCGCTGCCCTTGCAGTCGTCTGGAGGACTATAGACCTCCATCACCTTTGCTGAGAAGCCTGTATTCCTGTAGGGCTACCAGAGGGAGAGTGGGAACAAACACCCTGGCCAACACATGTAGCTGCTAAATGACTCCAGAAGGTGGAACCTGGATCTAAAGGAAGGTGTGGGAAACCCTAAGAGCCTTGGTTGCCCCTACAGACTCTCTCACCAGATCAGGGTGGGTGGGCGTCACCTAGGGCCAGGAAGGCTGAAGGGAGGGAGTTGCCCACTAGGGGGAGCACTCAGATACACCAGGCTGTTGATTGCTGGACAATCAATCCCTCAGCTTCTGAGCTCCGCCATTTTCTAAAAGAAACTCAAAATCCTAGGAGAAATGATTGAGGGTTCATCCCACTTCCCTGTTATAGGGACCAATTCTCTTTCTTCCACAGTTAACACAGGCCCATGAACCATGTTTAATACAGAACGGAACAAAGGTTGAGTTTCTTCATGCCCTCTCTCTCTCCTGGAGGCAGCAGATTTGAATATACCATGTGTTTTCTTCTGGATCTGGCACCTTTTGTTCCCTCTCTTTCCTTCTCACCTGCCCTAACTCCCACTCCTCCTGTAGGTCATGGCTCAGATGCCACTTCTTCCCCAAATGTTTCTTAACCCCTTGGCCAGGCCTGTGTAGGTGTCCCCAGCATTTTATGGCACTTGCAACATTGTGTTATCATGCCTGGGAGTATCTGGAAGGCAGAGAGGTTGATTTTGTTGATCACTGTCTCTCCAGTGCCTCATGCTGTGCTGGCACACAGCTGGCACTCAACAAACATTTATTGAATAAACAGAAACAAAAGGAGTAAAAAGGCATAAAATGAAAAGGCTTACTGGAGTTACTATAGCAGAATGCTGTCACACTACAGTGTATAAAGAAGGAAGTGTTTGTTGAGTGCCTACAGCACACCAGACTTTTTAAAGATTCATTAACTCATCTGATTTTCAATAACCTTATGAGGGCAGGATTATTATCTCTACCAATCAAGAAACTGGTGCTCAGACAAGTGAAGCATCTTTCCCAAGGTCACATGGCTGACAAGTGGCAAAGCTGGGGTTTCACCTCCCAGGCATGCCGACTGCACACTCAACCTTGTTCCACTAGGGCCTGGTGGACTAGGCCATGGTGTTTGCTCACAGAGCTAAGTGTTTGGGCAATCACATTTTTTCCAGGTTTAGTGGTGTGAGGAGTTAGGCAATAGAGGAATACTGGGTACTTAGGGAGGTTAAACTAATGAGGGAAAAGAGGACAAAGAAAAGGCTATATCCAGTCAACATCTTAGTACTTGGAATTAGCAAACCCTTAGTGGATATCTCGAGTCTCATTCTACATTTAAGTCGAATCCTGCCCTTGACCTTGAGTGGTCAGAGGGGAATGGGTCAAGGTGTGGTAGGGCAAGGATCAAGTGGGTGTATCTCTATCATCCTACCTAATTTTTTAGGGTCATGGTGTCAAAATGCCATTTCATCAAAGCAGCCATGCCACATTGTGCGCCCACAGGACTATTAAAAAATACCACATAATACTTGAAGTAATATACTATGCATTTCTTTTAAAATGTCAAATGTCCTAATATCCTTAAAATAGGGACTGGTAAGCCAGTGAAGTCCATTATAGCTGACAAAATACACCTAGCACAGCACATGCCAGTGATGGCTGCTGGACTGTCCATAGGGTCCTCTTTTGTTAATTGTTCATTCAACTTATGTATGTTGTCATGACTGATATTTTTGGGATAAAAACATGCATGGGACACCTATTTTAGTGGAGAATCCAAGGGAATTATCTTCCCACGATCATTCTCTAGCCTCCTTCATCATCTCTGGGACGGCTTCATAGACAGAACTCTGCAAAACTACCAGAGGACACATTTCCAGCAGCCTCACTTAGAGCTGCTGTGTCTCATGCTGAGAGTATGCATTTTCAGCCATTCTACCGTCAGTTCCCACCCCCCAAGAAAAGAGGCTGCATATGAAAACACACTTTTTAGCCAACAACGACAAAAAAGAAGCTACACTTGTAAAAAAATAAGCCATTCTTTCCTTTTTCTGGGCTCTGAGGTAGGTGGTTGGCATGACTGGTTTCACCCATTTCCAGGGTCAGGGTGCTGTTGGAAAGAATCTGGGAACTGGGGTCTGAGCTCAGGTTCCAGTCCAGGTTCCAACCAGCTGTGTGACCTTGGCCAGTCACCTCGTCTGCCCTGCCCACTTCACCGAGTTACTGTGAGGTCCCCCTGAGCCCAGGAGCCTAATGGGTCATATAATCGTAGCATTTACCCCACCTGCTATTTACCTGCTCCTTGTGTCTGTGTTCTCCCACAGGAGTGTAAGCTCTATGGGTGCAAGATGTTTTTGCTTTTGTTCATACTGTAGCCACCACAGCACCTAGACAGTGGTTCTCCACCTTCTGGCCCTTTAAATACAGTTCCTCATGTTGTGACCCAACCACAAAATTATTTTCGTTGCTACTTCATAACTGTAATGTTGCTACTGTTACGAATCGTAATGTAAATATCTGATATGCAGGATGGTCTTAGGCGACCCCTGTGAAAGGGTCGTTCAACAGCCAAAGGGGTCGCGACCTAGAGCAGGTTGAGAACCGCTGACCTAGAACAAAGCCTGGCCCCCACTAGAGTGCAATTCACATTTTGTAGGATTGTTAATTCCTTTTCTAAGGAGATTGATCTAACGCCGTGATTCTGTAACTTGAAGGGCATCTGGACTCTTCTCCTAGGACAAGAAGGAATCAGCAGATCTGGTTGCCCTTGAAAATACTGCCTAATGACCTGTCCTCCTGAAAGTTTCCAAGCCTCTTCTGCCTCTAAAAGGGCCTTTACCTTTGTAAGAGGAATGTGTATCCGGATGCTACAACTCAGGCAGCTCAAGACTAAGAAGGTAAAATTCTTAATCAATGGCAGAACCATGTGAGGCAAATTTTAGAAGTAATTCTGTTGACAGCCCGTCACTTTCCCTTGAGTCATTTGATTGGCTTCGCTGATGGGCGCTGTCTGAAGTTAGCGATGAACTTTAGAGAAAGGGGAAGGAAGTGTTCTGCTAACCTTGCTGAGAGTGTGGAAAGGGGAAACAGAGGCGTTGGTTTCCTCTGCTGTGACCAACATTCAGGTCACCCCAGCACTTTCACGAAACCACCCAACAGCTCCATGTCACCCAAACTGCCTCCATTTAAAGTTGCGTGTGAAGTCTAACAGGATCATGAACACACGTAAGCAGTGACAGCTGTGACAGGCTCTGCCACATACTATTCCAGTCAGATGCTGAGAGTGCCCCAGAGTTCAACTCTCAACATCTGAGCTCAAGTGTGATGTAGTAATAATTCCGTTATGACTATGTACTCCATCTACAACGGTGATTCCAAACGAAAAAACATGATAGCAACTTGCTGGTTTTCCAGCTGAAAGTACTGAATTAGTTCATTCCTTCTAGGGCAGTGGTTCTCAACCTTCCTGCAGTTCCTCATGTTGTGGTGACCCCAAACCATAAAATTATTTTCGTTGCTACTGCACAACTGTAATTTTGCTACTGTTATGAATCGTAATGTAAATATCTGATATGCAGGATGTATTTTCATTGTTACAAATTGAACATAATTAAAGCATAGTGATTAATCACAAAAACAATATGTAATTATATATGTGTTTTCTGATGGTCTTAGGCGACCCCTGTGAAAGGGTTGTTCGACCCCCAAAGGGGTCGAGACCCACAGGTTGGCGACCCACAGGTTGAGAACTGCTGTTCTATGGTGTTAAGGGTTTTTCTAATTTTGTTAGGAAGAAAAAAAAACAAAGAGGTTATAGGTCTCTAGTATGACATAAAGAAAACACAATTTAGAATAAGATTTTGAAATTTCTTTAAAGAAAGCTTTATTTACTACATACATCCTAAGAATGTATTGTAAATGGAGCAAGATCTAAATAAGTTTAAAGCTTTTCAAATACAAAGCAACTAAAGAGAAGTAAACTGCTAGCATGTTTGAAAACAGAAAACTCTAAAGCTTTTTTTTTTTTACATTTATATAGTTTGTTCTTAACCCTAAAAAAAAAAAAAGTTCACATTTCAAGTTATAAACTTACCTCAGTAGTGTATGTGAAATGGGTTTGAAATAGAAACAGATAAGAGGCTCACTGATACTTAACTGGCTGTCACCAACATTGGTTTTTAAGGTAGTTTGGCATTTGCCAGGTTAAGATATCATTTTCTTTCCTTTACTTTTTATTATTCTCCCCCCCCCAAACAATGTACAGGCACATGTAAAATACAGTAAGACCGCTGAGTCCGAGTCTCATCCAGGGAACCTCTGTCACCATCAGACACTTCTCACAAAGCCACAGGAGGAGGCTCTGGTCCAAGCGGCATTTCGTTGGGTTACTCATTCCAACAGACTCAAGTTTGGGTGCAGCTTGCTGGGTACATCATCAGGAACATTGCACAATCACTTTATGTCACTTAGGAATGGTGGGAAGGGATGTTTAAAGGCCGTTGTGAGCACCCAATAACTTTACACAATAAATAAATATTGCTTATATATAAAAAATTCATCCCACTCTAAATTGGTGGCGGGGTGAAGGGAGAGTGGTGCAGAATTTGGGAATCTCTTAATTTAAAATTTAAAACAAAACTAAAATATTTGTTTGAGGCATGATCCTATTATTAATCCACAAATAAAAATTCAGCCACCAGCAAAAATTCAGCGAGTGGAAAGATTTGGTGGGTCTCTAGTCTTATAGAAAAACACAACTGCGTTACTTGCTACTTATTGCACAACTCACTTCCTTGGTAGAGCCTTTAAAAAAAATTCCACGTTGATGTATTTCATAAAGTAGATGACGATCTTAATATTTTACTGTATTTTACATTCACTCTGCTAAACAAAAGCCTTTAAACAGGCACAAAACACTGCAACAATATATTTACTTCCTAATAAAACAAAGCTTTTAATAACATTGAAATAAAATGGTTTCCTTTTGCATTAAACTTCTATACCATGAACTTCTGCAACATAAAAAACCTAAAAAGGAGCATTAGGAGATATTTACAAACTATGTCTTAACTCCTGCCGGTCTCCCCCTCCTCCTGGGCGGGCACGGGTCGACGCAGTTCACCTGCCACGCGGCACAGCCACGGAGGGAAGCCCTGTCCAATAAACATACTATTTTTAACGCCACTGGCGACCACAGACATTTCTGCATGAAACACGGTAAGGCAACTAGAAGTGTCACTTTCTGCAACAGGAGTCTCTGGGGGGGGGGGGGCCTGCCACAATAACATTCGTCGTCTCTACAAACTCATACTTCAAAAGGAAATAAAATACAAGCGTGAGAAAAGGAACCGAAGTTTTCTATCGGGCAATTAAATAGCTATGCAAAGATGTCTTATGAAAACTACTAAAATCTGTGCTTACACATAGTCTGCTATTGAAAATACGTCCCCAACCAAAACCCAAAATCCCCAACAAAAACCCAGAAGTACAAAAGCCACCCATGTTTTCTCTGCCAGAGTAATTCATCTGCTCTAGACTTGCCACACAGGGAGGTGGGATGCGGGTAGAAGGCAGGGATGAGCAGGGGAGTAGAAGGCAATATTAAGTTTAAGAGCAAAGACCCAGAGAGAATGAGCAGGCCCCAGGGTAATGGTGGCAGGGGAGAGCATTCCAGTGTTCGGACCCAGAAGTGTGACAAGTCTTTCCAATGCTGGCTTAAGGAGAGACCGGGTGTTTAATTTCTTTTAAAAAAATAGAACCATCGTAGATAACACATGGTAACCCCGTCAACCCTTAATGCCAGCAAAAATAGAGGTTTTACTCATTTTAAAATTGCACTTTCCAGTATAATTTTTAAAATAACGTTTTATGTGATAGTTTTAAAGCACTATTGTTTGTATCTTTAAATATTGAATACATTTTTCAAAATAGTTCCCTAGCTGCTCAAGTGTGCCTTTTAATATATAGTTGATATATTATTGAAGGTACTACAAAATAGAAATCTCTGGAGTGCAGAAGTTAAGAAAATAACCTTCATACTGAAAATATATCCTTAAAAATACAAAAACAAAAACCTCTATACAAACGTACTACAGCATACAAATTTTTAAGAGATGGTCTTAAGGCACGAACCATTACAAGTCTCTTAGAAATGTATGAACACAGGCTGCTAAGTTGAAAATAGTCTTAAAAAACTAGTGAAAACTTCATGTATATAAAATATTTCAGTATGGTACTTGACTACATTCTTCACTTTCAGGTTTCATCTGTGTGCTAAGCCACCATGCTCTTTCTTCATAAATAGTAAAGTGTTCCTTCAGTGGTAGTTTCGCGATTCGTCTCCGCTCTCACCCCCAGAATCAGTACGTCTGGTAGACGTCATGAATGGGAACCTGAATAGCAGCAGCAGGGAAGGCCTGAGGTATATAGCCAGCGTATCCTCCGTAGACGGCGGCCGCGGCCGCGTTCTTCTGTAGTGTGGCGATCGTGGCTGTGGCCGGAGCAGCAAAGGGAACGTAACTGGCCCCATAGATCCCGGCAGCGGGAATCCTCTGAATGTTTGGAGCCACCGTGTAGACTGGAGTTATTGGACGGCCCTGCGGAGGAGAGAAAAAGAATCCTTACCCATCGGGAGCACCTTTCCCCATTTAGTCATCCATTCCTTTAACAACTCCATTCATTCCTTCAGCTCCCAGGTGTAAAAATAAAGGTCTCCACTCTCAGGGAGGGGAGGGAGAGGAGTAAACAAAGAACCAATATTTGTTTAAAGCGGGGGTGAAAAGAGCCATTAAGATAAGGTGGAGCTGCATCCTCAAGGCTCATGCAAATTCCACAGGTGAAAGTGAGAGCCAGAATGCGAAAGGAATCTTCTACCCACCATTCACTCCATCAGCACATGCCCAGGGAACTAGACAAGGAAGTTGAGAATCCACCCTTTACTTAGCTGATCTCACAGTAATTAAACATTTCCTTAGCTCTGGCCGGTGTGGCTCAGTTGGTTCAGTGTTGTCCTGTGCACCAAAAGGTTGCTGGTTAGATTCCCGGTCAGGGCACATGCTGAGGTGGTGGGTTTGGTTCCGGGGTGCTTACGGAGGCAACCGGTCGATGTTTCTCTCTCTCCCTTCCTCTCTCTAAAAGTCAATAAGAACACATTTCCCCCCTAAAACAGGGACCTAAAATACATGCCAGCTGCCTCAATTCATACTTAACTGAAGGAACATGATATTTCAAAAACAAGGAGAAAGGACTGACAACTTTATGGAAAAAAGTATGCAGACCTCCAAAGGGGCAGCTTCGTAAGCTGTTCCTCAAAAAAAAAACGACCAAACACAATCTTCAACAAATGTAATGGTTTCAACCACCTAAGATGTAACACCACTATACATACAAATTGTTGCAGAAACTTACAAAAGGAACCCATTAACCTGGGAAGCTGGAGATAGCATCTCGGAAGTGGAGACATTGAGCTGGGTTGTGAAGGATAAGGAGGAGTTTTCACAAGAATCAGGAAAAATAAGCTAACTAAAGCTGCCTCCATGTAGCTGTAAAAGTCCCTGCTACTTCCTCCTCTCTACCTGAAAGTGTAACATACTATGTTTTCAGAGCAAATGTGAGTAGAGAGGGCATACTGTAGTTCAGTATTTCCCAAAGTGTTTGCCACAGAGAAGGGGATTTTTGGTAAAATAAGACATACATTTAACAAAATCTCTGGAGCACTTTATCTTCCACAGGATGCCTGCCCCATAGCAAATGCTGCTAGGGTCTCTATGTCTTAATGCATCTGCAAATAATTCAGGATACATGACATGGAGAATTAGGTTTAAAAAGTTATTTCCTCCTGGATTTTTTATAAAGGAGTATCATTCCTTTACAAAATCCGCAAATCAGAGTGACAAAATTATGTTCAAAGGAACTTCATAATCTAAGAGTCATTTTTCCAACTAGAACCAAAACAATAATTATACTAATGACATAATAATAATAACTGAGAGACTGTGGTTTGCCAGACACTATTCTAAGCGCCTTATCTGTATGACATATGGGATCATTACGACCACTAATGAAGCTGGTATGGGATTACATGGAGAGGTTAGCACGTGCTCAGTGGCTGGCACAGGGAGGAACGGCTTTGGAGCGGTGGCACTGTGACCCCAGAGCCTGCACTTTATTTAAAGCCGCATCACCTTGCCTTCTATAACAACACCTCTTTGGCAACATCTTACAACCCGGGAGAGGAATTTGGGAACTGGGAAGACTGGTTCACAGCAAGACCCGAGCAATCTTTTCCAAATGTGTGGACATACATTTGCTGACAAATGCACCAAGGGGGGGTCATCGCAGGGAAAGTGACATCAGAGAGAAACCTCTCCATATGCTACGGTCCGACCCAACACCCGGGCTCAGAAATGTGTCCCATCCACCCACCGGTAGAGTTTAAAATGCTCCGTGCTCTACTGCAGTTTGGCAGAGAACACAGACGGGGTGAGGATGGAGCACGGCAGAGAACCCAGGTCAAAGGCCAGAGGGCGGGCCACAGAGCACGTAGGTTTGAGGGACAGCACCCGGGCCAAGCACACCCAACGGAGCCATTCCCAGGTTAAAACAGTGAGTGGCACCAGGCATTCTGCAGAATACGCGGAAGGAGGGACAAGTCGCCAAAGGAGTCAACTGACTGATGATGGTACATTGAGCAAATTCTTAAGCAGAGACATCAAATAAAGGCCCTGAAGGTGACATCCAGTGCAGAGTGACCAGAGACAGCAACAGCCTGCTATTCAACACGAGCGTGAGGCCGGGAATCTGGGCCTGACCAGAACGGATGCTACATGCCAAAGGCAGAAGTTCACGCATTTCTTAGTAAAGAGGAATTAGAAATTATTACAATAATTCCACCAAGTATCGCTTGTAGGTTACTGTAGATATTCACAGTTCACAAGAAGTAACAGCACTTGGCTGTCATTCTACAGTGTGAATCAATGACACCTATTCCTTTTTTTGGCTGCAGGAAGGCCTGCGTTAGAGAATACTCGGTGACACATTGGGAGGTGAATACACGTTCAGCTTTCTGAATAATGCAGTCCAGACTGGTGCTCAAGTGGGCAAATGCAAGCGAGCAGCAGCCCACTGCGGCGGCTCACAGCCTGGCTGTTGCAGCATCACTGAGGAGCTTGTACAGAATGTGGATTCTAGAGCCGCAGCGCAGTTCTGTGAACTGGAATCCTCTGAGGTCTGAGTCTAAGAATCTCTGTTCCCTGGATAATTCTTATCCGGTCAGATAAGAGACCCCCGGCCAGTATTTGTGCTTGTTGACTGGGAAGGTATTTCGCTGCCTCACAAAGAACAGCTTTAACAAGACTTTATTTTCTGTTTGGCTAAATGGCTGTCTCTCACTTACAGGCATTCCGTGGGCTATGCACTGAAGAGAGAAAGAAATGTAAGATGTAGCCCTCGTCTGGAGGAGCCTTTTTGTTGTTGTTGTTCATCCTCACCTAAGGATATTTTTTCCATTGATTTTTAGAGAGAGTGGAAGGGAGTGGGGTGGGGAGGGAAGGAGAGAGGGAGGGAGGAAAGAGGGGAGAGGAGAAGGAGTGAGAGAGAGAGATTGAGCCAAACCAGCCCAGGTTGGAGGAGCTTCATTTTAATTGGGGAGATGGAACATCCTGACAGCCATATGCCAAGTAATGAGACTTCCAAGGCTAGGTGGATGGGGAAGATGCTACAGATGAGACGAGATGGAGGAAACCGCACATAAGAGAATACTGTGAGCAAAGGTGGGGGAGGAGGGTGAAAGGAGAGGGTGGATTGGGAGAGATGTTGGAATAGTAGGATATGGTTGGAGGAGATGATTATGGGCAGATTGTATAAAGTGTCACATATCTCTACCTCTACAGATATTTCTCTCTCCATGTACATACATGCTTAAGGATGTATACACATATACAAATGTATATATTTATACACAGAGAGATTTAAAAACAAAATTCTTCATTGAACTGCAATTCGGAATGTGAAACTGGGAACTATCTCCCTGACACTTGCACCTTAACAAAAAACCATGAGTTAAAGATTATTGTGTCATAAAAAAAAATAGTAAGCACAATATTGTGACACTGAAAAATTACACGTCATTTTTGTATATTGCTTCCCATCTTTAACCCAGTGATAACAGTAGAGCAATGCAATTATTATTGAAAATTGTTCTGTCCTGTCATGATTTATTTAAACATTTTTTCTGCCACCCGATTCCATAGTTCTCACAGAGAGCTAGGCACACAACGAGCTCCCCTGCGGAACAGTAAGTGAACCCACGCAAAGGGAGGCCTCACACGCAAAGTACAATGACTGCGGCAGGAACTGTACCTGGAAAGGCGGCGGCGTTGACACCGCAGGAATGACGGCGGCAGCGGCGGCAGCGGCAGCGGCGCTGGCTGGGTCTGGCTGCATGGCGATGGGGCTGATCATGTGCTCCACTGCATGGATTTTGCCATCTTCAAGCATCTTAGGAGCGGGAGCCGCCTGAAACACGGAATACTGGGCCCCAATGGCAGGGATGGCCACTGCAAGAGAAGTAAGAGGGAAACAGGTGCATCACTCCTGTCACTTAAAAGGCCCATCACTGTCTGGACATTTTTAAAAACCAAGTTTGGCAGCCATGGGCTTCTCCCTGCTAACTGTGCTTTCTCAGTACAGGTGAGGAGGTGCTACCCAAGAAGAAGAGAGAGGAGGTGGCAGGTACCCCCTCTCCCCACCCCCGCTGGTCTTTCAAAAGGAACCACGTGGGCATGGACGTAGGCTCCCAAGAGATCACCATGGGAGGAAAGTCTAGAGTTAGGTTTCTGCACCATTTCCCTGTTAGTTTCAGCTACACCAGGGCCGTGGGAAGGAACTCTGGATTGAAAAATCTCATTTTGAATCTTACTCTTGATGTCCTACAGAGCAAGAAGGGGCCTTGTAACTGGGAAAACAGGCTCAGAATAAGAAATGAGAACTGAGGCTGGAGGCCCCACGGGGTGAGTGAGCCCCTCTCTCACTCACTTCTCCCCTCATCAGACCTCCTGCCCTTTCACTTTCACCGCGTTCCATGAAGCGGGTGCAGTGGAGGGTTTCATTCTGAGAACTCAGAGGTCTGTGTATGTCTTCCCCACCTGTGTTTCAGATTTCAACATTACTGATTCAAGGAAAAATACATCATAAAAATGAAATTTTCCCTACTTTTCTAATGTCCATTCAATAGTGAAGCAGTAGTGACTTTTTTTTTTTTTTAATGGAACCGGCCAATTCAAAGAGGTGTTTCTGTGAGTAAAGATCACCTCATTTCTCCGAGATTCAAACAGACAGGCGTTATCGAATGTCAGTGTATGATAAAGAGAGGTAAAAAGAAAATATACTCTCCCTGATTTGGGGCCATTTGTGCGAGTGTGTGTGTGTGTGTGTGTTGAAAGGATAGACAAGAATATGAAATGCATACACAAATATCCTTTCATTTATGGTTTTTCTCCAACAGTAGGCACATTTATTCTAATAAAAGCTGACTTGATATAAGGTAAAGAAACAGGTTTGACTGTAGGCTAAACAATGGCATGGTCATCCAATAAAATCTACCTAAAGCTTTAGCCAAATCTTTCATCTGCCTTTCCAACCATACGGTCTTGTGCCCCATCACTTCATCACTGCACTGGTGGTTCTCCTACAATGAAAAGTTCTAATTTTCCAGACTGAACAGAAATAGAGGCGAAGGGGCGGGGGCTCAGAGAGGGTTGTCGTTTCAGCTACACTGGAGTTGTGCAGAGTGACTCTGGCTTGTTCTGGTTATCCGCCCTCAGGAATTTCTACCCGGGGCCCCGGGACACGACTATGCCAGTAAAGATGGTTTAAAGAGTTCTTTTCTCTAGTTAAACCTTAAGCTACTGCAGCTTGCCAACAGGAGTCCCTTTTCCAACAAGTAGACGTAGCAGCTCCTGTCTCCAGGCTCTGTTTTATGGAATTACAGAAAGACACGGGAACAGTTTTACAATGATTATAACATCAGTGGCATTTATATGGAAATCCAGTCTAAGGAGTCACTTAGTTGCAGAAATTGCAGAATTTTTTCACAGGCCAAAACAAACAAACAAACAAACAAACAATTCCCCCCCCCCCCCAAAAAAAAACAACAACAAAAACCCCAAAAAACCAAAAACCCAAATCATATCACTGAATTAAATTCCAAAGGAAGTTCTACTGGGAAAATGCTTTTAAGCCTGAGGTGGCCTACACGAACCTTCTGCCCCAAATGAGCAGAGCCCTTGACTCTGTTAGCTGGAAGGACCAGAAGGAAATCAGAGTAGCTGAACTTCGAGGTGAGGGGTCTCTCTAAGAGCTCTTCAATCTACCCTCAGGGAAACCAGGAAGTGGTCTGGAGGAGGAGCGCCCCGATTACCCACTCCTGGCTTTTCCCCTGGCGTGTGCTAATAATAAGGAGTGTGTGCTGTGCTCGCTCACACAGTGGAGTTAAATAAAGTTCCTTGCAGGTTACGGCCAGAAAGACCTGTCTTACCAATGGGCACAACAGCACTGGCAAACTGGTTTGAGAGGCCTGGAGGGGAAAGCAAAGTTCAAGGTTCCTGGCTTGAATCCCTTGAGCAGCCCTCCTCCAATCGATTGATCCAGGGAGAGGAGGAAATGAGTGCAGGGAATTGGAATCCAGGCAATTAGCAGCTGCCTTGTTGCCTTGTTCTCTTGTTCCCGGGAGGTCCAGGTTGGTTAAGTCCATGAGAAGGGACAAGTAGTGCTAGTTGCTCCAGAAGGGGAATTTTCTACAACTCTCAGAATGGCAATAAGCTAGCTGCACCCTCTGGCTTCTGATGGCTGGAGTGGAAATCGGATTTAGTGAAGGGAAAGACAGTTTTGAGCTGATAGAAGATAGAGAACAGCCTCATATTCTTCCATTACCCCCCTCCTGCCCCCACAACTCTTCCGACTCAGTCAGAGATTGAGAAAAAGCCTAACAACGGATGACACACATTTGAAAAACCCACTATTGGAAAGCTGGACTTGAGCATGGTCAAAGCTAGACAGTCCTCTTAAATTCCAGGTTAAGAACAGTCAGGAGGCCACATTCTTTGCCTAATCTCTGGCTGCCTGCCAGAGGAGAAACCCACGTGCATGAACCCGAGAGAGGGTTGGGATTTAGGCTGAATGGATGCATTCTCGCTCTCATTTATACTGACCTGCACCAGGTTTAATGGCAACTGGGTTGACAGTAGAGATTTCCAAATTCGGTACAAGTTCAAATCCTTTTTCTTGCTGCTTTCCTTTCCCTTCGTGATATCGGCTATATATACCACGGCCAGCAGAATATCCCCCGAGGTAGGAACCCCTGGGCCCTGGGTTTCTGTTGCCAGCTGCACCTCGACCCCGGCCTCTTATGCTGCCTGCTTATAATAACAACACAAAAAATGATGAGCAACCAACAGTGACAGCACAGGAGGCAGACCTCAACGCAAGGTGCTTAGCATTTAGATGTTGGCCCCGAGTCTAAGTTGCAGGGGGCTACACCTTTGCTGTTCAGTGAGCTGGGGAAGATGCTTCCAACATTCCATTGCAGCCTAGATTCCCATCCTGCGTATGTCTACCTGATGCAAGAGATGAACTTGCAGGGTGCTGTTCCTAGGATTGCAACTGTAACTTCAATAAAGAAAAATGTCATCGATTGTAAAAAAAAGTTAGAACTGGAAGGGAACTGCTGGTTTATCTTCCTCATTTCATGCGTGAGAAAACAGGCCTAGGGAGGTGGAAGAGACGGACTGAAGTCACAGGGCCAGTCAACCCGAGAGCAGGACGCAGAATCTTGGTATTGTTTCCCGTTGTAATGCCTGGTTTTATTGTACCTCGTCAAATGATCGAAAAACAAACAAACAAAAAAGCAAACCAACAACATTGTGCCCTCTACTCCCAACCTTCTAAAGATAGAATTTCACAAGTAGGTTTTAACCAGAGGACCTGGAGACTAGACCCCCACCTGGGTAGAACCCAGGCAGGCAGCATGCCAGAGCTTGCATGCCCCCTGATTCTACTGCTCACTCCATACACAGGAACCTTCTGCATGTCTCTCAATGCTAGAGAGGCGAATTCCTAAGTGCCAGCAAGGAACCCAGAACTGACATCCAAATGAGGGTGGGTAGGGAGGGGGTCAGCATCCACCAACTCAGTTACAGCCACAACATCCCTGACGCGGCCCGCCTAGCAGACACGGCTCAGGGGGCCTACCCAGGAGCACAGTCCCCACTAACCTTTCACGAAGTATTCCCTGTTGGGCCCGATGAGCGCGTTGTAGGGGTAGCCATAGTAGGCCAGCGTGTAGGGGTCGCACGAGTACACGTAGCTGGGCTGCTGTTGCACGGCTGCCGCCTCGGCCGCGCCGCCGCCCTTGGCCGCCTTCTGGTAGCGGGAGTACTGCTCCTTGTCCACCGGCTTGGCCAGCGTCACCTCGAGGCACGAGCCCTCCAGCTCGGTGCCATTGAGGTGGTTCATGGCGTGCACGGCGTCCTCGCGGCTGGCGAAGTGCACGAAGGCGTAGTCGCGGATCTTCTTGACGCGCTCCACGCAGCCGGGGTTGAACTGGCCGAAGACCTTCTTGATGGTGTCCTCTGTGGTCTCGATCATGAGGTTGCGCACGTAGAGGATCTTCACGGTCTCCATCACGTCCTCGTCCACGTCGATCTCGGGCTCGGCCCAGTCCACGGCGATCTGGTGGCCCCAGAGCTGGATGCGGCCGGGCATCAGCTTGCGGCGCGCCATGGCCGCCGCGCGGTGGCTCTCGTACTCCACGAAGGCGAAGCCGCGGTTCTTCATCTTGTCGGCGGCGCTGGCGTAGACGATCACGTCCTGCACGCCCTCGGTGACCTTGGAGATCTCCTCCAGGATCTCCTCGCGCTTCTTCATCTTGGGGATGCCGCCGATGAAGAGGCGGCAGTTGTCCACGCTGCAGCACACGCCGAGCAGGCGGCCCGGGCGGATCTCGTAGTTGTTGAGCTCGCGCACCGCGCGCTTGGCGTCGCCCTTGTGGCAGTACATGACGAAGGCGTAGCCGCGGTTCTTGCCATCGAAGTCCATCATGAGGCGCAGCTCGTAGATGCGGCCCACCGTCTCGAACACCGGCACCAGCTCGTCCTCGTACACGTCGCGGGGGATCTTGCCCACGAAGACCTCGCAGCCGCGCTGCGGGTGCGCGCCCTCCCAGCCGGGCGGCGGGCCACCGTACTTGCGCTGCCCGTTCTCCTGCACCATCGTGTAGCCCGTGCGCTCCATCAGCGCCAGCAGCGCCGCCTCGTTGGGCGCGCCGGCCACGCCCTCGGGCACCCTGGCCGCGGACGCGGGGGCTGGGTCGCTGCTCATGGCTGCAGTGGAATCTTCTGCAGTCATAATGTCAGAGGCATCCACGGCTGCTGGAAACCTGGGGGAGGCAGAGAGGGAGGGTGAGTGTGGTGGCATCTGCACAAGTGCAGCCAGAACCTGACTCCTCCACCCCCCATCTCACCCCCTCACCCCCCCCTCTTCTTTTTGAAGACATACAAGGCTCATGCTTAACCATCAGGTGGTTACATGAGAAAGAACATGGAGACCCGCCCTGGAAACGCAGCAGCTCTAAAACAGTCTAATTAGTCAAGTGGTATTGCACGAAAAAACCAGAAGTTGACTCGGAAAAACATTCAGAATGAATGAGCAAGTACTTCCGCTTAATCAGCTTTGAAGAGAGAACCTGATGTAATTGTCAGCGAAAAGCTTACGTTCTTGCAGCAAATGGCAACATCTTTTGCTTAATTCCTGCCCTGTCAACTCAGATCGATTTCCCTTCAGTGACAGCACTTCACCCACATTTATTTCTTTGGCAGACAAAGCCTCTTTCTTCGCTTTCTTTTTAAAATACAGTCTTTTTCACTTGGGAATGGAAATAGAGCAATGTATTTACATTGTTAAGAAAAACTTTGAGGTGCTACACAAGATAGATACAGAGTTGTGCGCTGACGCTTTTCACAAGGAAGAATTGGACCACGCACATTGCCAAGGACTTGGCCGAGGAGCTGTGGTAAAGAGCGGCTAAGAGTGATTCTAATGGTGCCATTCAAGCAAAAATCTTGGATTTAGAATCAGTCCTCAAAGAGATTAAGCTCAAACCGGAGACTCGTGAAGCAGCAACTACCTGGTAAGCCACACTATAGTTTTCAGAGCAGTGTCACATGCACTATCTTATTTGATCTTAATCGCCTTACATGGTGAGTGATATTATCATTAGTCCCAATTTGTCTGTGGGGAAGTAAGCTCAGAGAGGTTGAGTAAATTGCCCATTTCACATAGCAAGTACCAGCTAGTACCAGGACTTGATGCCAAGTTGTCTGGCCTCAGATTCTGGGTTCTTCCAAACCAGTGCTGTGCATTGCAACTTTCTGTGGTGACAGAAAAGCTGCCACTAGCCACCTGTGGTTACTGAGCAATTAAAATGGGGCTAGCATGACTGATAAATTGAACTTATCATTATATTTAATTTTAACTAATTTAGAATTAAAAAGAATTAATTAATTTAGAATCATATATGATAGTACAGGTCTAAACTGAGCCACCTTCATTCATACAGGTCAGGGGTCTGTGGAAATTATATAGATATATTCCTCACCTGAGGATATTTTTTCCATTGTTTTTAGAGAGTGGAAAGAAGGAAAGAGAGACAGAGAGAGAAACATTGATGTGAGAGAGACATATCAATTGGTTGCCTTCCACATGGGCCCGGACCAGGACTGGAGATTGAGCTTGCAACTGAGGTACATGCTCTTGACTGGAGTTGAACCCGAGACTCTTCAGCCCATGAGCTGATACTCTATCCACTGCGCCAAACCGGCTAGGGCATGATTTTATTTGTTATTGTTTTTTTCAGTAGAAATGATTTTAAATTATACAACAAGATTATCACTAGGAGCTGCACAGTGTGCTTTTGTAATGAAAAACTGTGATTGGCCTTTTGAAAAATGAAGTTATTGCATTTCTTGGACTATAAAAGTATTCACGTAAATTTTATGGACAATCGAGAAAAGTAAATAAGAAATCATTCCTAATTCTGCTACTCAATGATAGCTAGAATTAAACTTATCTTTTTTTAAAATAGCTTTTTGGGGGTGGGGGATGGAGCTTGGCTTCTAGCAAATTTATATCCTGCTCCTTTACTTCATTTTATAAGCACTCCTCCATGGTCTTAAAACTCTTGGTAAAAACATAAAAATTAATGGCTACTAAGGTTTCATCGTTTAATAAGGACCTGGAGCATCATTAATTTTTTAAAATATCTACCACTAAGAATTATATACAAGAGTATTAAGGGAAATTTGAAGGATAATTAAATTTATCTAAAGAAAAAACAAAAGAAATTGTAATGACACAACAGAAATCAGCATGGCTCAGTGATTGAGCGTTGACCCATGAACCAGGAGGTCACAGTTCATTTCCTAGTCAGGGCACATGCTTGAGTTGCAGGCTCTATCCCCAATGGGGGCGTGTAGGAGGCAGCCAATCAATGATTCTTTCTCATCATTGATGTTTCTATTCCTCTTCCTCTCCCTTCCTTTGGGGGGGGGGGGGGAGGGGAGGAAGGAAGGCAGGAAGAAAATAAATAAATAAGTCTGAGATGTTTATTTGCCAGTTGGCCAAACCAATACTACCCTGGTTTATTTGTTGTAGCATCTAGATCCGGTATAGTTTAGTGGGGGAAGTGTGGCCTCCAGAGCTGACTGCATGCTTGTATGTGAATCCCAGCTTTAACAGTTCCTAGTTGTATGACCTGGGGCAAGGATACTTAGCTGCTTCATGCCTCAGTTTCTTCATCTATAAAATGGGGATACTGATGATGGTATTAATATTAAGTTTAGAAGAGTGACAATATATAAAAGCACTTTGAATTGTGCTCAGAACATTGCAAATGCTCAGGAAATGTCATTATTATCTTCCATCCAAATTTCTGGGTAAAACTTTAGACCAATTCTCTTAATTTTAGAGTAATTTTGACACTTTCCCGGTTCTTTAAAAACATCTGTTTGATAAGGCTTCTATTCTTACTTTTTAATTTTCTTTGCTCTTCAAGTGCTTGAAAGCTGGTTTGGCAACACATCTAGTTATCATGAAGGATTTTGTTTTAGTATTCATTTGGGAAAATGAGATGTTAATTCCTATAGTTTCAAGTTGAAACAAAAATTTCAATATCAGATTTGAATATGAAGATCTTTTCCTCCTTTCAAATGGAAGAAAAGGGCATATTCTTAAGAATACTATTTATATAAACACATGTGTGTTTATCATCTTTGCCCTGGAAAAGAAATGCTAAGTATATATTATAAACATGTCTGAGGCAATTCAAGATCTTATGTGTTGCATTACTAAAACACTGACTAAAGTCCAAAGGAATAGATAGACTCTATCATTCTGCTGAGCTATGTGGAGTTGACTTTTTGTTTTCCTAATTGTACTTAAAACTACCATTTTACAAAAAAAAAAAAAAAAAAAAGGTCTTCTAATGGTCAGGTTATGGGAGTTATTTTCAATCCTAACCCCATTAAATTCACCCCAAATTCTGTTTTCAGTCTGAAATCTGCTGTCTCAGTAACTTAATCAATTCATTTAAAATAGTTATAGCTTATTTCTTACATCTTTGAGCCAAGAAAAGCCTTTCCCTGCCCTCCTGAACTTACGTCATCTGGAATGAATGAATCACGTTACTGGCATTCTTTCCCTTTTTTCTTTGGCCGTTAGGAAGTTCAGGACTGAATTTGTCACTTCAGTTTCAATAACTGTATAGAACATTACAACACACTCTCATGCTCATCTAATTTTGGCTATAGTTGTTTTTCAGCCTTCTATATTCCCAATGCCAGGAATTTAGCTATTTATATTATTAATCTTATTGTTTACATGTTCTTGGAAGCCATGTCATATAATTTGGGAGCTAGGAGAGGAATAAATGCACACACACAAATCTAATTTGCACCAGACGTTAATTAATGTAATATCTAAACTATTTCATTAACTACAAACATTGACATAAAAACAAGTGAGAAGCACAGTGAGATACAATTTCACGCCCATTAGCATGGCTATTATTTAAAACAAAACACATGTTGCCAAGAATGTGGGCAAATTGGAACACTTGAGCATTGCTGGTAGGAATGTAAAATGTTGCAGCTTTAGAAAACAATATGGTGGTTCCTCAAAAACTTAAACAGAGAATTAAACATATAATCTACCAATTTCACTTTTGGGTATATATCCAAAAGAATTAGAAACTGAAACTCAAACAGATATCTGTACACCAGTGATCACAACAGTATTATTCACAATAGTCAAAAGGTGGGGGGAAAAAACAAATGTTCATGGCCACTTGCATGGATAAACAAAATGTGGCATGTATACACAATGGGGTATTATTAAGCTTTAGAAAGAAAGGAAATTCTGACACATGCTACAACATGGATGAACCATGAAGACATTATGTAGGTGAAAATAAGCCAGACACGAAAGTACAGATACTGTATCTTTCCACTTATATGAAGTACCTAGAATAGTCAAATTCAGAGATAGAAAATAGAATGGTGGGTGCCAGGAGTCGGGAAAAGAGAGAATGAGGAATTGGTGTTTACTGACTTTGTTAGGGATGATGGGAACAACAACGTGAACTATACACTTAAAAAAATAGTTAAAAAGGTGCCCTGGCTGGTGTGGCTCAGTTGGTTAGGTACCATCCCATGCACCAAAGGTTGCTGGTTCAATTACCAGTCAGGGCACATGCCTGAGTTGTGGACTCGACCCTCAGTAGGAGGCATGCAGAAGGCAGCCAATAGATGTCTTGCTCTCACATTGATGTTTCTTTCTCTCTCTCCCTCCCTCATCCTCCCTCTCCCTTCCTCTCTCTCTAAAAATCAATTTCAAAAATCTTTAAAAAAAGGTTAAAATGGTTCATTTTGTTATATGTATATTTTACCACAATTTCTAAAAACAAAAAAAGTGATGCAAAATAGTCAAAAATAAGATTCCATAAAATTATAATTTCATTGGAAGCCATAAAAAAAGATACATTGAGTTAGTTTAACACATTAAAAATTTTTTTATGGTTTATGAACCCTATTCTCCTATCTTCATAGCTAATATAACATAGTTGAAAAATTATATGGTATGCTGTGCAATGAATTTGAGCCCACAGGCTTAGATTTATAAAAGATAATTTATTCAATGCCTTAAAAGGGGGAACTATACAGCTAACATGTCTTTTCTCTTAGAGATGTAACAGAATGTGTAACTTACTACAATTAGACATGCTTTAGACCAGGCCTTGGCCAACTATGGCCTTGGCCTGCCCTTCGTTTTTGTTGGGGAACACAGACATACATCCCACCCCCTTTTTTAAAGTATCATCTGTAG